TTATGTGAGTTTGCATAATTCACAAGTTCGATCTAAGCAAAGAAAATTTTTCTTTAAAAATATTTTACTGAACATTTTAGTATTCCTTGATCGTCGATTGAATATACGTTATTTGATGCCATGGTTTGAAGGTCAGTTTATTTCTAAAAAAAATTAAAGATTTTTCGTTTACTTTTACTTTAAAAAACACATTTTATTTTAAAAAACGTCAGGACACACATACGTATGTGTCAGCGTTTCTCACAGGGTTAATACGATCACTATCGAATAGAAATATGCTATTATTTGTGTGAGTACAACGATGAAACCGTCTATTATATAACGAGGCGAAGAATTATTCATGACATCAACAAGAGGAAAAATTCGTTCACAGCGTGGTCAGACGAAAAGAAAATTTATATCCCTGGAAAGAAATAGCTAACCACTAGTTCAGAGCTTAGTTTGGTTAGAAATTATTCGTTTGGAAAAAAACAATTTAAATGAGAATTTCATGTACGATGTAGAGAGACAAAATTCCGTATAAAAGAAACCGATTTATTAGAACGAATGATGACTAACAATGCAATGATTCAGATACAAATAAAGATATATCACAATTTTAAGCATTCTAATACTTTAAGAGGATGTGTGTTCATTGTACAATTACAAGCAATATTCGTTGGTATTCTTTCTAAACTTATATTAGAAGTTGTATTTCTTCCCAGGACGATGGTTCCTGAAGCAGGATTCCATGAATTTCTGGCGAAATCCCTGAAGAAACTCGCCATTTCCGAGCGGGTTCCACCAAGAAAATGCCAGAAATCCGATGGAGAAGTGAGGTAACCGTATCCGGCTGCCGGTTTTGACATGCTTCTGTCGGTTTCGAAATACGATGGAACCGGCCGTTTCCGTGCCGGATTGTTCGACCTGGGTTATTTTATCTACCTTTTTTAGTTTCAGCTATGTCATACTCAGAGAAATCACATGAACAGAACGAACGAAAGAATAAAAAAATTAAGTAAGTTCAATTGTCAGTCAAATATGCTCATAATCAGTCAGAAAAGTACGCTGAGTATAATAAAAACAAATTCAGACATAATTACACTCTTGTTATATATATATATATATATATATGCTCATCTTTTCCTATCTGATAAACAAAATAAAGGTTATGTGTCGTAATAAATCAGTCGCAGAAATAAATTCAGTAAGTGTAGAAAGATCTACATGAGTTTCGCTGACCCTTTTCAAAAAATCTAAAATATTAATATTTTAATTTCATTGTTTTGTTTAGAGTCACAATGAACTGATGCAACACCAACTACCGGACAATATTCAACAATTAATTCAACAACAAATTCAACAACAACTTCAACAATTAATTCCTCAACAAATTCAACAACAACTTCAACAACAAATTCCTCAACATATTCAACAACATATTCAACAACATCCACAAAAAACTCGTCAACTTATACCATCTACTGAACCAGTAAATAAAATTGCATTTCAAGACATCAGTATGTAAAAAAAACAATTTTTTTAAATATATATTTTATCTGTATTTAGATGTTGAAATAATCTTAAAATTAACTCAAATATGGTTTATAAATAAAGTTAAACATAATTTATTAATTTCTATGATTTTCGTTGGACTACTTTCTTCTTTTATTACCTGGTTATTTTTCAAATAAATTTACTTAGATCCGTAATCCTTGCTTTTTCTTTTCGTTTTAGTTGTATTCATTATAAGTATAAGGATAAAGAAAAATCTTGTTCGAAATCAATAGGGTGTGGGTGTGGGTCAGGGTGTGGTATAAAAATAATATCCATGCCCACTCATCCACACCCACACCCACCCTCAAGATTGCGGTCTAATTATGTCTGAATTT